GAAAACACTCGGAAAAGACAGACGGTAAAAAGTTGAGACAGGCTTTCTCAGCGCGCTGTGGAAGTTATAGCCTGCCTCATGTAGTTCGGGTTTTTGTCATATCTGTGGATTTCTCTCCCTCTCAAAACATTCTGAAATGCGCTTAAGATATCCATGACATATGTCAGAAGCGCACCATTACCCACTTTGAATAGAGGTTGGTACTTTGTCACCGTCGGGCCACTCACGAGGCGGAACAAGGTTCATACCTGTCGCATGTCACTGCTAGGCACTCCACAACTGAATGATTCCTGGGAAAGTGTCTCACCTACCTGAATCTGTAGACGTCGGCTCCTATGCGCGTGATATGTATGTATCCTGGTCGCTGATAGCGAATGTATGATCTTGATAGGTCGGTAGAAATCTTCACATACACGTAGGCTTGTTCTGTCCATTGTGCGCCACTACGGGCAATGCGGGTGTCAATCATAATATCGTACATGTGCAGTGGAGCATGGATAAGATTTCCGTGAGCAAATGTAATATTTGCACGAACATATATCCGCGGGACCGCGACACTTACGAAAACTTTACACGAAGCCTACGAAAGTGTGATTTAGCTCGAGTCCTTTGCTTGTGTGTCAAAAAAATGAATGATGGCATTGGAGAAGGTTTATGACGAAGCGTACATGGAGCGCGGACTAGTGAAGATCACTCTGGCAAATAATGTTATCAAACCTGTGATCCAAAACTTCCGATCATTCAGCTATCATCAATGATATCGTCCTTCGATCATGGATCTGTGAAGCTTGAATAGCCTTACAGGTTGGCAACATACAGGAACATGGAGGAGCATCCAGGATTGTGGGACACATGAATATATGGCCTTGGCGAGGCACGGGACTGGAGGAGAGGAGTGAGAGGGATCGAACGGTGCCCTTGACCATTCAGGGAGTGCGCGGCTTGCGTCTAGTTGCAGGCAGGGCCCAGTGCGCAGGTCTGTGCGTTGAATATGCTGTTGCCAGATTAGTGTTGACCTATTAACGACTTCTGGTCCGGTAAACAGCCACAAATATCTGACTACAACACCTTGTTCACCGCAAGGCCACGACTCACCTCGAACATATGCCTTCGCTGCCATCATTAGAGGCCTTTGCCAAGGTGCTTCCATATCTTTTCATGATGTTCAGCAACCCTTAATCATAACACATTGTCCACAGGGAACCGCCGCTACCGTAGCTGGTGTTGCAACGCTAGGTTTATTAGTTCCTCCTAATTTATGATGCGGCTCAAGTGACCTTTATATATCTTATTAGGCTGCGGACTACTATATTATGGACAAAATTATCTCATTTATCCATCCGCATTCCCCCCGGGCTCTCGCATAGGTATGTGTTTACTGGGCACTTCACATTCGACGCCAACGTAACTGGCCAAACTTTAACAGAGGTCCCAGTGCCCACGGATTTTGGACTTGAATACCAGGATTTACCCCTTGTCACTGAAGATGGGTTTACTTTACGGTGTTATCTTCTCATGCAACGGACAGAGATAAGCAACAGCCACGCTGCACACATCGATTACCCAGACCAACAGACGCATGAAGAGGTACGTCGCACTATCCCTATACTTTGCATTCATTCACTCACTTCTATTTGTTCGTCCGATGCAAGTTTGCATCCACCCGACCGACAGTTTTGATGTTCCACGGTAATGGCGGCAATCACGGTCACCGGATACCTCTCGCGAAAGTATTCTACGTCAAAATGCGCTGCAATGTACTCATGCTCTCATACCGCGGGTGCGCCCTCTGTCTTTCGCAATCCAGTCCTCGAGTTGGGGAATCCCTTTCTCATTCATACCAATAGATATGGTCATTCGGAGGGTTCTCCATCAGAATCAGGCGAGACACCGTATCTCCAGTAATCTACTCTCTTTGCTCACTGTATTTTCTAGGCATACGTATAGATGCTCAAACGGCCCTCAATTATCTTGCTTCACACCCATATTTGAAAAACACCCCCGTCGTAAGTATTGTTGACGCCACTTCCAAAGGATTGGGCTAACTTGCTTTTGTATCAAGATCCTTTACGGCCAGTCTATTGGTGGTGCTGTCGCTATTGACCTTGCAAGTCGAAATCCATCAAAGGCGATTAAATTCCAATTTGCTTCCATACCTATCATAATCTGAGACTGCAGATCACGGCGCTAATCTTGGAGAACACATTCACGAACCTCCCACGTCTCGTACCTAAAGTTCTTCCTCTTCTTAGCCCTCTTTCGTTTCTTTGCCATCAAAAATGGGACTCGGCTTCGAAAATACCTCTAATACCTCGGTCGATGCCGATCTTAATGCTGAGCGGTGTTAGAGATGAGGTTGTTCCACACGAGCACATGCAAGAGTTATGGCAGATTGTTTCGCGGCGCCAGGGTACCAAATCCAGTGACACAGGAAACAAATCTGACATACCGGAAGTCGGTAATGGGAAATCGAGATTCCTTGAATTTGAAGGAGGACACCATAGTGCGTTATTTCGATGATCTGAACCACCGGGTTTAATGACGGTATTTAGATGATACGTGTGTCCAGCAAGGATATTGGACCGCAGTCACTGACTTTGTGGCGAGTTTGAGCCGTTAGAAGCCCCTAACGCGGTGCTTGTTCTATCTGAATCCATACGAAGTGACATCATGATCATGGCGTTGGACAGTTTTTTTTTCTTTCCGTATGTTCACACATTCCTTCACAAACATGCGTTCACTATTACATATCATTTCACCATAAGAAAGCGACTAGTTTTTTGTCCATTATTGTTGTAACAGGGAAAACAAAGGTCTAAATAAATCGGTTTATCCTTCGTAGCGATACGCAACCAACGCTTCTATTCGGTGTACATCAGTGCTGAAGCTTCGCAACTTCACTTGCTGACTCTTGCTCGCCTCGATCGCCAGCGGATCAGTGTCGACCCACTCATCGGCAGGCACGTCAGCGGAGTCATGTGTATATGCAAGGATATTGAAGACAGTCGGTGTGTCGATAATTGGGAGGAAGGTTACGGTTGATACGATTTGTTTGAGGATATAGCGAATCTCGGCTTGGATCTCTGATTCAGGCTTTGCAGGTGTTCTTGTAAAGCAGGTCAACCAACTGGATGACCCGAATAGCGGGAGACTTACGGTTGGGCAGAATCAGCTGGTTGTTCAACGAGGTTAACATCGAACACCCATCGCTCAAGTGGTAGTCTGGCATCCTTCGATATAATCGCAAGTACGAGCTGCGTTACCGACCCGGTAAGGAGCCATTCTGAAGTCCAGTTGAGTTAGAGTATAAAGAATCGTGCGGCACCTACTATTGACTTGTTTCAGTATCCTTGAAAGAAAGTAAGCGAGTGCACAAAAATAGATGTCGGATGAGATGCACCTGTCAAGGTAGTTCTCTAGTGCCAAGTCCTGAGTGACGAGGACAGTTTGCCCGTACTTCTTTACCATGTGAAAGTCATCCGACGGATACACTCCACGTTGAAAGAGAATCCTGTATCGATGCATGAAATCGTAAGTTGTTGAGTCGGAAAGTGGCTCGAAATAACGCACGTGTTGGCTGCATATTTGAAAAACTCTGTGACAAGATTCGTGGAGCCTTTCAAAGTGATGGCCTGGCGTGTTGGTGCTTGAGATGTTGCCATGCTGGCGGATGCTGCTGAACAATGTGGGATGGAGAGACTGATTCAGCGGCTGCCAAGTTAAACTTGATTGACGAACGTCACGCTTCTCGCGCGTGTTTTGACGCGAATAGATCACGTGGAAGTGTTTGTTTCTAAGGCTCTTGCCAAACAGACTCGGTATATAATATACCAAGTGTGTCGGAGAAGCATTCACGAATCACAATCCTCTTTCTTCATTTCATATCGCAAAGCTTCCGATAATTCATCATTAGCACATAAAAATGCACGAAGTGGACCCCACTTCTCAATCGAATTATCTGCAGATCGCTACGAAGCATATCACCTTTGATTGGACGGTTGATTTTGACAACAAGGTCATCGCAGGCACCGCAACACATGAGCTAATTGCAAAAAATGACGAAGTGTCTGAGGTAATGTGAGGACGATTGCCTATCTATCTATTCGGCACGGGTTTTGAGCTGTCTCAGCTTCGATACCTCGTATCTGCACATCGAGGGAGTAAAAGTTGATGGAGATGCGGTTCAAGACGTGCGCTCTGCGTCTCTTCACTGGCGTGCTTCTCTGAGCTTGCATTATCTATAGTTCAGACTTGGTCCCAAGCATGAGGTGATGGGATCTGCGTTGCGTGTCCCCCTTCCTCGAACATTGAGCGCCGGATCGAGTATCTTGGTCGAGATCACGTACAGAACGACTGCGAATGGCATAGCCTTGCAATTCCTTGAAAAAGAGTAGGTTTACCATGTGCGCAATATCACTCTGTCGTTTATGTTTCTTCAGACAGACCCAGGGTAAAACCTTCCCATTCCTGTTTAGCCAGTGCCAACCCATTCACGCGCGAGACCTCGCTCCTGTGCAAGGTGAGAAGCCTTTATGATTTGATTCCACGACTTAGACAAACACTTATGCACATGGGCAAGATACTCCGTCCGTGAAGCTAGTGGGTGTTTTCCGTTGATCACCCCAGTGCTTGTGCTGATTTCCGATCATCAGACGTATAGCGCCAGTGTCCGTTCCGTACTTCCAGTTCTGCTATCTGCGAAACGGATTTCTCCGCCCTCAGATGGTCCAGCTCATGATGGCAAGATCATCGGCAAGGATGAAGTTGTGTATACCTACGATCAGGCATGTCTCACCAACCTATCATCACAATTCCACTTCATGACAGATATTGGTGTCTTCAGCCTACTCCGATTCCATCATACCTTCTCGCAATCGCCGCCGGAAATTTACAGTACCAGTCATTCCAAGTTCCTGATGGAAAACAATGGAAGTCTGGGGTTTGGTCTGAACCTGAGCTTATGGACAAATCGTTCTGGGAGTTCAGCCGGGATACTACTAGGTAAATGCGCATGAGCTTTCACTGAGCAAAAATGAATTGACATTGTATGCCAGATTTCTAGCGGCTGCAGAGAATCTTGCTGGGCCGTACCGATTTGGGGTTTATGACCTCCTTGTTCTTCCACCGTCTTTTCCTTATGGCGGCATGGTGAGCTGCACGTTATTCCACACAACCACCTACTCATTACTACTAGGAGAATCCGTGTTTGACCTTTGTGACACCCAGTGAGCATATTGCGTACCTGTATCGGACTTCTGACCCCCTTCAGCCCTTCTTGCTGGAGATAGATCCCTGACAGACGTGGTGATCCATGAACTTACGCATTCATGGTTTGGGAACGGTGTTACGTTAGTTTTCTGCAGCTTACTTTTTTATATTTGCTGATGGTACTCTAGGCATGCTCACGCTTCTCACTTCTGGCTTAACGAAGGTTGGACAACCTATGTCGAACGTGTGCTACTGCAGATTATACACTCACCTGCACACCGAGGTCTATCTTCTGTGATCGGATACAAAGCATTGCTGGATGCCCTCGCGCTCTTCGAAGACAAACCCAAATATCAAAAACTGGTCATCGACTTTAATTATGGAGAGGATCCGGATTCTGCATACAGTCGGGTGCCTTACGATAAGGGTGCCAATTTCCTCTTGCATATTGGTAGGTAGTATTTTCTTTGTGAAGTTGTCTATTGAGCTAGATTGTCCCAGAGCGTACGCTCGGTGGCCTTGCGGTCTTCCTACCTTATGTTAAGGACTACATCGCTACTTATATGGGTCATAGTATTTCCACAGAGACATGGAAGAACCACCTCTATGCCTACTTCCAGAAGAATGGCAGCGAGGGACAGATCGAAGCATTGAACAGCATTGATTGGGATGTAAGGCCGGACAACTGATGGTTGAGGAAAGAACCACTGAAATTGTCCGACAGGCATGGCTTCATCAAAGTGGACTACGTTTACCTGTTGAGATGGAATATGATTTGACTCTGGTGAATCCTGCAAATGCGCTTGCCGACCGGTGGTATGAATCGCGATACACTACGGACATTTCGAAGCTAGATTTCAAGAGTTCTGATTTAGATAGCCTGGACGCTAATCAAAGAGGTGCGCGCCAACATGTTTTGTTGTTTGTATCAGTTGAGGAAGTAGGATTGCAGCTGTCTTCCTCGAACGATTGGAGAGTTACAATGAATCTCTTCCTGCGGGTCACCTTTTCCATTTCGATAAGTTGTACAGTTTATCGACGACCCTCAGCGCCGAAATTCGATTCAGATTCTATACCTTGGTACTTAAGTCCCCGGCAGCGATGTATTTTGTTCAAGGAGCAGCAAATTGGGTTATTGGGGTGGATGACACAGGTGTCATCAAAGGTCGCATGAAATTTTGCAGACCTGTGTTTAGGGCGATGTTCAAGGTCAACCCTGACCTCACTATATCAACGTTCAAGCAGGCTCGGACGCAGTTTCATCCCATTGCGCAGAGTCTCATTGCGCAGGTACGCATTCCGTTTAGTATGTCCGCGTGTCCTTATCTTCAATCTATTAGGATCTTGGGCTGGATCTGACTGGACTGAGAGGTAGTGGATAAAAGGGGGTTGTAGCTGAGCCAAAAAAAGCATATTCATTACTGTACGGCTTGCGACCGCAATGGGATCTTGGCTAAACTATGTACTTATACTTGTTTGTATGTCAGCGTCTCGGATCAAGCAGCAAAAGATGACTGGCCAAACTTGGTTTGCTTGGACCCTGAGGCCTGAGGCCTTGAGGCCTTGGCAGAGGTGGACCTGAAGCTTGGCAGTGTTCGGACCTGAAGCTAACTTAAAGTGTCTCAAATTTTTAATATTACCGAGCGGGGGTTACCAAGGGCGGTCGGACTCGGGTCGCACTGAAGTTCTGAACACTCAGTTGTCAATCATCTCTATTTTCACATTCTTTCAATACTGCATTCATGAAACTCACTGGCTTGAGATCTTATCTATCTTGTGAATGGTTTGGTGTCTTGGCTCCCTTCGACCCAACCTGTAGGCTTGTGACATCTCCATTCTTTTCTCCTCTGAGTCTCGGCGCACTTCGTCTGCTGTTTGCTGTTTATTCGCTCGTTACAACAATCACCGTTCTCGTTTTTGAGTCTGTTCGTTTCCACGACGTTCATAGGTAAGCAAACACCAGACTTGGCGTGGCTCAACGAGTGGTCTGATCCAGAACTTTGTGATTGGTCCTGTTACCCCAGTTTTTTTTCTTACTTCACCGATCTCAGTTACATCGGCCTTGTCGCATACTTCTGGGCATCCAGCGTCCAAACCATTGTATTTGTTTTGTCGGGACAAAAGGCATACCCTTTGCAAAAGTGGCCACGGATCCTGCAGCTCTTGCATGTCCTCCTGTACACCACCATCACCATATTTCGTGAGTTCAATGTTTAGCTTCCGAGTCTAAGTTTGAGCAACGTTTTGCAGCAATCATCGTGACTGTTGTTTTCTGGTCTCTACTTGCTTCTCCATCGACTTTTAGTACCCGGTACTCAGGTGTGGACGGCGTTTCCTCATATCGGCTGCTGTTGCTCATAATATGTCATTCCTAGCTTGGTCCAACGTATCCCAACATGCGATGAATAGTAGCTTCGCTCTATTTGAGATATTCCTAACGAATGCGGGCCCTAGTCCATGGAGCCACATCATGCCATGTTTCGTCCTTTTTGCGTGTTACCTCGGTGTTGCGTATATAACACATGCAACGCAAGGATTTTACAGTAAGTTTATTTTTACATGGATCACAGCAGCGCTGACGCCCACCATTAGCTTACAGTTTCCTTGATCCATCTGTAGAGCACGGACGGTTAGCTGCTTACATCATCGGCATGGGTGTTGGTTACTGCATTCTCTTCACGATCGTGAAGGGTGTCTGTGCACTGCGGTGCCGTTTAGTCTCGCCTTCCCCTTTGGGCCCTTCCGAACGAGTACAGTCCGAAGCTATAGATGAGTGGGAGCACATTGATGTCGAACAGCCGAAGGAGTCAACTGGATCTGATGCTTAAGTATTTATTCTCCCTTTGTTTATTGTTATCTTCATGGATTGGACTGAATTGGCTACTGATAGTGGACTTTTTCCGGAACATCATGTTCGTCCTTATACTACAATGTTGGTAATGTATTATTATGCGATCGGTTTCTTCCCCGTGGGGTTGGCTTTCGCACACTGATGTCCCGCTGTCCCTTCGGGAACAGGATGCCGACGGTACCGGCTCACTTGCCAGAACTTATCACGAGCTCAATTCGCTCAGTATGATCGACTTATAGTCACGTACAATGTCCATGATTAGTATATTCTGGATGCTGACTATTTTAGAGTCTTCATTTTGCTCCGAGAGCACGGAAGGCATCCAACCAAGATTCCGCGTTCTCACTAATCAAATTATGGTCGCACGCAAGGCGTACGTTCTATCTCAGGCGCCAATAATAAACAATCAGGCGGCTTGAAGGTACATACTTGACGTGTGACTTGCGCGCTCTTGAACGTGAAATTTTAGGTCTGCCTTGATTTCTTGTGTCACGGGCATTCACTGATTACAACGAAGAAAAACCGAATGGCGCTCTGGGAGCGAAATATGACCCTTGTGATCTCATCGACCTGCTTATGAGCGGCCCGTTGCGGCCACAAGTAGGTGTGCGCGGTCTTCGCTTGCCAGGGTCATTGCAATGACCCTATGATATGATTTTCGCTAATCGGATATTTTGCGCGATATAAGACGACCTCGCGAACTTGTCAAGTCAGTACTTCTGCTCCATGGCGTTTCTACAGGGTGTGAAGCTTGCGTTTACAATATTGGCGCTTGCCACGCCATCCTGGGCAATTGGTGTCGCACCTGGTCAGATCCAAAACTTTGTCACTTTTGGTGACTCCTACACTGATTCCTCGTACTACCCCTCCGCTGACGGAGGCTATTCCTGGCCAACATGGGCGGCGATGTATGGTGACCTTGATCTCTATGGGTTTGCTCGTTCCGGTGCAACATGCTCGAACCTGCTTACTTACAGACCCTTTCCTCCGATCATGGGTGAGTAAGCGCAAATGGTTTGTGATTGTTATCCTGATCACAGTGACCACCCAGGTTGGCAATTCCCTGCTTACCTGAATGAGACGAGGAATGGCACGCTGGAATTGAACTCAAATGAGACAATATATACCATCTGGATTGGAACCAATGATTTGGGTGTCAACGCGTTGCTTACCGGAAGTGATGCCCCCACCACATCAATTGTTCAGGTCAGGCAATGCGCTGTCGATGTCCTAAATATGTTGTACGAGAGCGGTGCTAGGAACTTCATCATGCAGAACGTGAGTGTATGATCGTTGGGCCACTGTGTCTTAAGCTCATTTCGCACATACAGATACTTCCCCTTGACTTGACAATCCTGTACTCTAACTACTCGTACCCCAACACTTACTGGAACTTGGAACGCAATACAACTGGATGGAACGTGCACATGACGGAGCTGGTACGTGCAGGGAATGAAATCACATCCCTCAAGCTCGATGCGCTTCTGCCTACGCTCCCTGATGCTCATATTGGTCAGTCAACATTACGATCTGCTTCGAGAGAACGACTGACCCATAGTAACGCAGCATCTTTTGACTCCTACGGGCTTTTCACCGACATGTATAACAACCCTCAGAACTATTTTAATGGCACTGCGCCATACAACGTAACGGGCTGCATACATTCATGTGTGTACTCTATAGACAGCACGGCAGCACCGGCTTGCACAATCACCAATGGTACTGACGCAGATAGCTTCATGTGGTCAGTCCAAAGACAGTTCCAAATAGCGACCTAGTGCTCACTTTCACTAGGTACGACGAACTTCACCCATCGCAGCAGTCCGCCAGAACCTTGGCTAGGGAGTTGACCGCGGTGATGAAGGGAGAGTACAACCAGTGGACGACGTGGTTGAGCTAAGCTAGTCACACCTGCAGAGTTTTGAAGATAGTGGATACAGCCTCAGAACAACTGGGGACAGCGGGGTCCTTTGATATTTCCCTTGATTATTTTTGGTTATCGATTTGGCGATTTTTCATCATGAGTGAAGTCAATTCTATGACCTATTCTTGAACTTCCGATTTTTACGGGATTCGGCATCTCAGCGAAGCACGTCAGAATTGCTAAATGGACTTGCAGGTGTCATCTGCTAGAACACGAGACCTGCCTAGACTGTATCAAGAAGCGCTCATTGGCAGATAAAAGGAGAAGAGCCAACTAAGTATACAACGAAAAAGCATCTGCTACATGGCTTTAAATTCTTTGGATTGGCTTGCGTACTTATCGTTCATCTTCGTCCTGGGGGTGATAGGCCATCGCTTGCGTCACCAGACTAGATCCCAGTCGCTACCACCTGGCCCGCCGCAGAAACCATTGATAGGGAATTATCTCGACGTCCCCAAGGCGGAGCCATGGAAAACATTCTCGCAATGGGGAAAGCTATATGGTCTGTCCTTAAATGCTGTACCCTTGGAGGTATATTCAATAGTGCAAACAGGCGACCTGGTATACGTAGAAGTTCTCGGGAACAAACTTCTCATCCTAAACGACATGGAAAGTATGCGCGAGCTTCTTGAGAAGAGATCGCAGAAGTATTCTGATAGGCCATCGTTTGTGATGGCCAAATATATGGGGATCGAGAACGTAAGCACATGCAATAGCGCGCTTCATGGCTGAAAACAAATCGACATTGGACAGAATCTGGCATTCGCTCCCTACGGTCCAGATTGGAGGCGAGGACGGAAGCTTGCACATGGAACTGTTAACCAGGAAGCCGTCCAGAAGTATCATTTGCTACAAGAGAATGTTGCCGCTAGATTTTTGAGAGACCTGGTGGAATGTCCTTCAGAAGTCATGAAGCACCTGCATATGTGAGATCAGCTGCGCATCAGCCCATGTTTCCCTCCTGACTTGGCATTACCAAGGGCCACGGCTCAAATCATCGCGTCCATAACCTATGGGTTTTCTATCGACACCCCAAGCAATGCGGTGAGTGAAATACTGGACAATGGCTCCAATCCTTTTCAACTGGGACTTGCAGTACTTTGACGAATTTGCCGAAACGGAGCGAATCGTCCTGAAAAGCGTGGTTCCGGGGGCCTATTTGGTTGATATGATTCCTCTATGTAAGGCTATTTTCACCATGGCAGACAATTAAGCTGAAGGTGATGCAGTATGGTATCTGCCATCCTGGGTCCCATTTAACAGCATACAGCGAACAGCTGAGAGAGGGCGGCAGCGGGTGTCTGATATCGTGCACCATCCGATGGAGCAAGTAGAACAGGATATGAAACATGGAACTTCTTCAGCTTCATTTGTTTCGGATCATCTAGGGGAAGGCGGGAGCGATAAAGTGATCAGACAGCAACTACCTTGGGTAGCGTGGTCAATATATGAAGGTATGTTTTTACCCCATTGACTGAAAAGAGGGATGACATCGTTATCCGACTTCAAGCTGGAAATGACACAGTAAACATTTCATAACTCTGGGATATGCATCTATCTGACCGTGCAACAGACTAGTGGAACCATGCTGACCTTCATGCATGCTATGGCATGTTTCCCAGAGGTCCAGACCCGCATGCGCGAGGAGATACACAGAGTCGTAGGGACTGACCGCCTGCCATCTTTCGATGACAGGGGACGGCTGCCATATATCAATGCAGCGATTAAGGAAGTGTACCGCTGGAAACCCAACTCACCTTTGGGCGCACCAAGGAAATTACAAGATGCGGATGTCTATAGAGGTTTTTTCAATCATAAACGGCCAGGAACACGTTTTGACCTCTTGAGCAGGGTACCACATACCGAAAGGCACTACTGTTATGCCTAATATATGGTGAGTAAGAAATATGTACCCACGGGATGTACTTATCCTTCAATATAGGTTACTCAGTCGGGACCAGGACAGTGGCATAGATCCCGAGGCATTTTCTCCAGAACGCTTTCTTGATACCCACGTAAAGCAAACGGCGATTGATCCTTACAGTTATGCGTTTGGCTTTGGAAGAAGGCAAGTGCGCGTTACAACACGTAATGAAACTCGTTGACAACCCACACCCAGAATGTGCCCAGGGCGTTTTTTAGCAGATAATTCCGTGTTCATGCTTGTAACAAGTATAGTGGCGACCGTGCAGATTTCGATACCCAAGGATAGTCATGGCACGGAAAAGCCATTTGATCCTCCATATATACCCGCAGGTCTGGTCAGGTACGTCCCAGTGAACAGTAAACAGGGGGAGCACTCATGTATTTGTCGATTAAGTTTTCCTTATCCATTCGAAGTCGACATCGAACCGGTGTCTGACAAAGCAGTGGCTGTCGTGAAAGGTAGAGCGACGAGTATTGATTGAATATTCACGTATGTAAGGGGAGCGCGAAGGCTCTGATGGTACAACGTATGAGATCAGCCCTTATTGATGATGTATTAGCTTTCCTTAGATACAAGTGTCACAAACTTACGATGATTCCTGATTTTAGCATATGCTTGCATATCTGAATCGTGTCAGTGAACTGCAATTTGTCCCACACGGAGCACGGAAGTCACGTGCAGCCCGTGACAGACTTTACAGTTCCTCCAAAGTTCCAGTGCACTCGGACCACAAGGTATCCAGTTCTACATGAGCTGTGGGACATTGCAGCACATTTCGATATTTGTGTATAGTAGTAGTACCAGTATCCTATCATAGTATCTTAGTATCCGAGTCAGTAGTACTAATTTCAAATCTAGAGCTGTTCAAGGCAAACCGGGAGTGCGTCCAATAACACCGCCCTTATCCTGAGTTGAACCACGTTTTGGAGTTGGAACCCACGATCCTGTACCGTCACAAGAGCAGTAAGCTCCTAATAATTAGGCCCTACTCCAGATTCTGACTTTATCTCAAACCTGATCCACCAGATTCTGAAAGAAAATGAATAGATCTCTTCATCTCTCCGAATCCTTCGTCATCAGTTGTGGCACAATTACCCTCGATATCGATCAATCTAAAGTCCTCGTTATCTACTTGAGAAAAACAGGCGAATATTGCCTTCCAAAAGGGAGAAAAGATGTGGGGGAACAGCTCGAAGCAACAGCCGTTCGCGAGACGTACGAAGAAACAGGATACATCGTTGAGCTACTACCCCTTCAGTTGACCACCCTTGCTACCCTCCACGGGAATGATGATGTCCGATCTGCGATACCTGGAGGGACAACAGAACCCGTCGCTGTGACGCAAAGGACGACTCAGGGTGTGCTGAAGATCATCTTTTGGTATGCGGCGCGAGGCGATTCTTGTGCCAACCGCCAGATGTATACGACAGAACAAGAAGATGAGGATTTTGATGCCGTCTGGTGTCCAATGGATGAAGTAGTTCAGCTGTTGACATTCCACGATGACAAAACGATCACTGCAAGGGTCATCGAGGCAGCTCGTGGTGGGGGAAGTGGATCTAAGGTACATTGTGCCGTATCTATATAATATACTAATTCTGACGGAAGGCCGCGCCTTCGGTGCGATCAGCGCCAGGAGTGAGCATGTGAATGATGCCCGCTGGAGGCAGTCAAGAGCATCAAAGGTACCTAGTGGCAGTAAGTCGTGAATGCTACAGTGACAATGTACTAACAAAGCGAAGCAGCCGGTCCATTGACCGATTTTCCAAACGTGTCGTCACTCCCTCTTCCCAGTAGCGGGCTTAACGCAGAGTACATCAACCCGTGTATAAAACAGACGGGACAAACAAACAAATATTCAATGATACCACCACATTAGCAAACCAGAAAGCTCGCGGACAGTTGAATGCCTGAACGATGCAGACTCTAACCACACCTTCAACTAAATGTCCGATTGTCTAGACAGCGCCGCAGTGCCAGTGATTTGAATACAAATTTGTGGTTTTACATGTCAGTGCGATGCTACACGGAGAACACGATTGTGAGACAAAGCAGACCCGAAAAAATGTTCACCTTGAGAGGAACCCGACTTGGGAGTTTGTCGTATCGCGATTCGCAGTACTGTTAGAGTTTGGTATTTCACCCTTCGTCATCGTTCGTTGTTCGGGTAGTGCCGACTTCGTATATATACCTACATCGTAGACTGTCCTCGTCTTGTCGTCTCCCGCCATGTTGTAGACACTTCTTACAGCGTTGTTCTCCAGCTTTTACAAGTACACCGAGTAAAACCGCTTGCTATGGAAGCACAGTTCAGCAATTTATTTCCCCAGAAAATGTGACTCAACGTACAGGAAACAGCAGCCGTTCGTGAAATCCAAGTCAGAGAAGAATACTCTAAAAACTTACTTCCGGACCAATCGTTCCTTACTAGTTATGGCTGACTCAGCTCTGACTTTGATCAGTTTCGGTTGGCAGTAGGTACTAGGCTCGTGACCAATCTGTCCTGCAGAGAGATTTCGTCCTGCCTCAGGTGATATATGCTTCCTCTGATGACACCATCAAACTCTGAGCCCTCGAGTCCCGGCTGCTCCTCGCCTCGTTCAATATTCTGTGTATCTACCACATTAACCTCTCACCTGACTCGCGCCAGCTAGTTTACATGCATGGGTCGGATGTCCGGATATTGTAAGATCGAAGTATTCTGAGACGATCGCCGTACGGATCGCCGGTCCAAACCCCGTCCTCAAGCGCCGGTAATCCGATAAACGAGACGTCTCCAACGATCGAACCCCCACTCCCCTCACAAGCTCCCCCATCAGACGACGTACATGCCTTACCTAAACTCCTCCATCGATCCAAACAGCCTTGGTTTCCTCGCTATTCTCCTCGGAGGTAGCAGAGCACACTGCCTTCAAGTTCAATCCTGCCCTGAAGAGGTCGATAGAGACTGGGATGGTCTAGGCATTCTTCAATCCAGAAGCAACATCGAGAGGCTTATCGTCAATGACAAGCTTCGCGCAAGTCTCTGTTCCCTCCTTCATATAGTGAACGAAGAAGCCCCAGGAGATTCCTGGACGGTGATTACTTCCTGCTGCCTTCCATTAGTATACGCTAATTGCCCACAGGATCTCGTTGATAACGATGTGGAAGAAGACACCTGGGATGTTATACGCTTCTCTGGTCGCGCCGCGGATGGTTCTAAACGTACTATCAAACTCTGGAGCCTGGATCACATCCTTCAGGCGTTAAACGATCCTGCCCCACATCTCATCAAGGTTGCTTCGTTCCGAAATGTGCCTTGCTGTCCTCGTTTCCATCCGAGACTGGGATGGACGGCCCTGGTTCATCAACCTCGGCGTGTAGCAGGGGGTTTACTAATATTACAAGATTGAGATATCTTCCTGTTGAAGGACCCATCGACAACGACAAAGTCTCTTCGGTATGCAGTCTTGGGAGTCACCTGCGATTTGCTCCTCACATCGGTTCTGCTGTTCCATACCTCCTCTCACCGATTTCTCGACCCCCCACGTAGTCGACTTCTAGTGAAGTGGCTTGGTCGATACCCTCTCCTTTATCCCGACGCTCTAGACGAAGCAATCAAATCTATCTACAAGTCGGAGACGTATCATCCTACTCTTCGTAAAAATTTGGAGAATGAGATGCATCGGTTAATTTGTCTCGGCGCAGGTGTCTCGCAAAAGTCGGATTCTGAGGCCGATGACGAAACCTCTATCCAGATATCGGGAACATTGTTGGTCACGGGTGAACATAATGACATACAAGGACCCTACAACCGATTCCTATTCGAAGCCCCTCCTACTTTCATCCAATCGAATGACAACACTCCCCTTATTCCCGTTGTCACCAACCCACCGGACCTAGGTTCCGGAGAATTCGAGTTTACTTCCGAGGAGCTGACGAATCCCAGTCCCTTCTCTTCGAATTCACAATCATACTTCACGCATATTAGGACAAAAGGCGGTACTGAATGGACAAATGCCTTCGTCAAAGTGTCATCGGCGGCTTCCATAAAATGGGAGCGCAAGATGCTGCCTGTAATAAGCACTCGTATCTCCCCTGGCATGCTTCCAAATCTCTTGGCATACAATGCCGATCTCAATTCACTCGTTATGACCAGACTTCCTGGGAAACCCTTGAATGACTTTCGTCTTGAATATGCGATGATGAGGAATTGTGAAGATTTAACTTTCAAGTCTTCGCGAGATGCCCTTCGCTGGTTTATGGATATAGAGATTCGTCGTGCGCATGAATATGGCTTGCTGTACTCAGTCGGCAAGGACTTGGCCGACGCTCTAGAAGGACCAGACTCTCCAATACACAAGTTCTATTACGACCGTCTTCACAATGATGTCAGATTCACTAAACATTACTACCCAACCACCCCCGGGTTCAGCGGAGACAACGCAGTACAGTTTGATGATTTCATCGCTCTTCCTTGGAAAATCGATGGCGTGGAGTATCCCCCACTTCAGGAGTCCTTCAGGAAGGCAGAACGCATTCTCGATCCTCATGGTCAAGTTTTACCAAAACTGTGGGCCTGTTTGGGACTAGGAGATGGTCACGGAGGAAACGTGATGATTTCGCCGAAGAAACAGGATCCAGCGATTTATTTCATAGATTACGAAGCTGCTGGACATCATAGTCCTTTCTTAGATCTCGCGAAACCGCTTTACCTCGACGGCTTCTTCCCCGTTATGTATCACGATATCACTTCCACATCCTCCGACCCCACTTTTGAACGCGCTCCGGTTTCGTGGAGGATTGATGACGGCAAGGTTTGCATCGACTTGGATGCACCGCTGAGTGATCTGGACAAAGTCATATGTTTCATGAAGTTGGAATATACCCTTAGACCGCTTCTCGAGTACACTGCCTGGAATTTGGAAGAGCAGATGGAGTCTGCCGGAAACGTTTTGTCAGCCGCTCTGTTATGCTGCGCGCTCTTGACGAGGGACTTCTCCCGGCACCCCGATTCGTTCTTCTTGAACTGTGCTGTTGGTATCTTGCTGTATAACGACCTAAAAGGCTCACTCAAACGGTTCTGTGGGTGGGATAATTGGCCTTGCGTCGTGGAGACATCTATCAATGGTGAGCGTCGCTCATCTTTCTTTTAGCAGATTCTGAAGCGCAGCCAGACAGAGAACTAGCATTGTTCGGTGGTGGAGGCTTCTCTCTCACACCCGAGCAGTTCGATACTCAGTTCTTCAGCATTTTATTTAATAAAGTCGACCTTGAACCGGATTCGGTATTCCTTAAACGATTAGATGACACGCTGCTTTTGCATAAGAAGTTCTCGAAGGATTCCAACGAGTCCCCGGCTGTTGTCGTTCGAAGAATAGGTGATGCGCGGAGAACGGGGATTAGGGTATGCACCGTTCGGAAGCATTTTGGCCTAGACTCACCGTGTTAGGTTGCCCCACATACTTGTATCCGTGAAAGCATCTTTGCGGAGCCCAGAATTGATCATCACTTCCAGTATCAGGAGGTGCAGGAGACCCGCCGCTCACGTTCATACAGAATGACTTTGGTTGATCTTGGATGTTGTATGGGAACTGATCTAAGGAAGTTGGTCGTGGATGGTTTCCCAGTACTGGTACGGCTCACTTGTCGAATCATGTGCTCGGATGCTTATTTAGATGCCCTAGGACATCATGGGGCTCGATATTGAGAACCGTGAGTTTCGTGTCTTTTACAAATTCTTTATTAACATGACGCTTAGGATTCTTTGACATCGGGCGTCTCATGTACAACGAAGGGGACACGCCTTCCATCAAGTTTAAGCAGACCGATGCCCTTGATCCTCTATTCTGTGAACGCAACACCAGTTTGGAAAGCAAGTTCGATTTTGTGCACTCAGCAAATGTCGTACATCTCTTCCAGACTGAGGGGCAACTAGCATTCATACGGTCAATGGCCTTTCTAGCTAAACCTGGTGGACTTATGTGGGGTCGTCAAGTCGGGTTGGCCAATGGACCAGATGGTGCGAAGTACAAGCACAAAGAAGGAAAGGGTACTCGGTTCACAGCTGACGAGTTTAAGGAGCTCATCTTGGATGCTACGGGATGGCGTGAAGAGGATATCTTATATCGCTCTGAGTTGGTCGCGTACAGCGAGCTACGAATGGCGAAGCCTGACAAGAATTGGGTGCTACAGTGGTCAGTGAGGGTGCCCTTCGATAAAACGCCGGGAGCTCGTCGAATTACTGAGTTGGTTGAATAAATAATTGCCCTACGGTTGATCATCGTTTAGCGAATAACCAGGTTTTTGCTCATTTGGTAGTGCTCGTATAAGAGGTGAGGTTATATCCAGCGTGTACTGGCAGGGTGTAGCCAACATTCAATGAGTTCCCCTCATATTCGCCATCTCAGAGCGCTCCCCACTAAAAAACCTTGGCCCAGCGTCAGCGGATAACAAGAGTCCAAACAAATATCTCACAGACTCCCAGCCCGCCCATAACTCTTTTGCCAACTATACTCCCCGGTGCACTAGGACGAGCCATTCTCAGGGCATAGATGCCAGTTGCAGCGAACGCGCCGCTTCCTATGATGCGACAAGACATGCAGTCATTGTACGATGAAACCTGAGGGACGAAGGTAGAGTCGGAGTCAGGTGCTGCGGAACTGGTTGGGTTTGATTCAAGCGCGTTCATGCCCGCTCTAGTTGCGGAAGAAAAGTAGAAAGCAGCCTGAGCAGGGCTTCACGGAAGGACCCCGAAAACAGGGCCCCATATTGTTATGAACGTGAAGTTATGTAGAAAAGAGGGTATTATACTAATGGGTGACTATCCGTAGGGTAAATAATGCGGAATAGATTATAACGGACTTTATAATAAAACATATTTGCAAAAGATAATCTGAATAGAATACTAAACCGTAACGCATATGGAATAAACTAATCTGCGTTTTCTTGGTCAGAACTCCGATGGAAGATATACTGCTACAGTATGCTCTGGTGAACGACGCTGAAGAGATGGCACTTCTCAATGACGAAGAAGACACCACAATGTTAGCAGCCATGCTCGTTGCCGGTGCTGAGCTTGCTCGACTCGATCACATCAATACACGGAACCCTAGAAGACTTTACCTTTGTCGCGCTCACATCAGTAAAAATACACGTTACTTAAGCTGCCTTAAACAGACTTAAAACCCACTTAAGTGACTTTGGCTAAGTCAATCTACTTAGTCAAAATTTCAACTTTAACATGTTCACAAAAAAATTGTTCAGCTATTCTCATATACATATTTTGTTGTGGTTTGCACTAAAAAAGAATAAGATATCCCAAGTGGATGATGCAGGAGAGAGTAAACAATTTCTAGCAAAGTCAGCCAAGTTGATTAAGTAACATGTACTTTTACTGATGCAGCTACTTCCTGATTCAGGAAGTAGCTGACATCAGCAAACTACAATGGCCTTCTACAGCTCCTACAGAGTGCTACAGAGTGCTACAGAGCCACAGCTTGGTCCCTTCTGTACAGCTCTGTACAGAACGTCCCAGCAACGTAGTAAATAAACCAAAACAAAGTCACAATTTTGACATTTTAAAATGCCAACGGCAGGAATTGAACTTGGAATACTACGAGCAAAGTAACAACACACAGCTACCACTGCACCATAGTGCCTTTGATATCCACAAAATACAATAACATTTATACCAATGATACTCGAGCCTCATAATGTTTTCAACAAGTTGTACAATTTCCCCTTGTTCAAATCTATCACTTTTATGTTGTCTAATGTCTCAAAGTTCAAATAGATCTTTTCTTCAGTGAAACATTACACTAAGCCTTAGTTTAGAGCAAAGCTTATTAAATTTTTGTACAACTTGTTGAAAACATTATGAGGCTCGAGTATCATTGGTATAAATGTTATTGTATTTTGTGGATATCAAAGGCACTGTGGTGCAGTGGTAGCTGTGTGTTGTTACTTTGCTCGTAGTATTCCAAGTTCAATTCCTGCCGTTGGCATTTTAAAATGTCAAAATTGCGACTTTGTTTTGGTTTATTTACTACGTTGCTGGGACGTTCTGTACAGAGCTGTACAGAAGGGACCAAGCTGTGGCTCTGTAGCACTCTGTAGCACTCTGTAGGAGCTGTAGAAGGCCATTGTAGTTTGCTGATGTCAGCTACTTCCTGAATCAGGAAGTAGCTGCATCAGTAAAAGTACATGTTACTTAATCAACTTGGCTGACTTTGCTAGAAATTGTTTACTCTCTCCTGCATCATCCACTTGGGATATCTTATTCTTTTTTAGTGCAAACCACAACAAAATATGTATATGAGAATAGCTGAACAATTTTTTTGTGAACATGTTAAAGTTGAAATTTTGACTAAGTAGATTGACTTAGCCAAAGTCACTTAAGTGGGTTTTAAGTCTGTTTAAGGCAGCTTAAGTAACGTGTATTTTTACTGATGTGAGCGCGACAAAGGTAAAGTCTTCTAGGGTTCCGTGTATTGATGTGATCGAGTCGAGCAAGCTCAGCACCGGCAACGAGCATGGCTGCTAACATTGTGGTGTCTTCTTCGTCATTGAGAAGTGCCATCTCTTCAGCGTCGTTCACCAGAGCATACTGTAGCTAGTGCTGCCGTGGTCCGGTTTGGTCCGGTTCAGGGGGTCCTGGATGAGAACCGAGAACCGAACTGTGGTCCGGTTCTGTGAAATCTTCGAACCCAGAACCGGACCATAGAGAACCGTTCTCTATGGTCCGGTTCGGTTTTTTTCTGGTCCGAACTCGAACTGAACCCAAAAATTTTCAGTAGGGTGCACAAAAAACATTAACGAAGTACTAGTCTACACATTGAGTAGCTAATCTAATAAAAATAGCTGCATACTTCTGGCTCAACTGCTGCCAAGAAACCAACCAGGCACAAGTGCAAACAAGAGTCGGCTGGATGTCTTCTCAACTGCAGCCATTCCCTCCGCGGGGCCCAACACAGATTTACACGAGAACGCACCATCAAACCATCAGCAAGCACAATTTTGGAAATGTATAGTGCGTGCTTAATCACGTATGTCTCTTCTGTAATGTCTGTGAAGAACACCGCTGGCCCGAACTGACTGCATCAGGAAACCCTCCCAAGGCAAATTAGGGAGAATTCACAAAAATTCGTAACATTAGCACAATCACAGCTATTTATGAAGAAAGTAGCTAAAGATGATAATGTTAGATGAGTTTTTTTCTCACATAGTAAGAGTTATTGAGCATTATCTAAACATTGAAAAAGTATATCTATCTATGTACGAGTTCAACCAGAAGGTGTCACAGTCCTTGAGTACTGTATCACTCGTCCACTCTCATTGGGCCATAACACCGAACCTCGGTATAAGATGAACACTGCGCTCAATGTCAGCAATCGACACAATACTAGCCATGGTGTCACCACCGCGCAGTGAACGCGAGACTTTATATAGTCCGCTATTGCGGTCTGGAGCTGGTGAAAACAGTGTGAACCACTCGACATATGCAAGGTGAGTAGGAAGATGGATTGTTGGTGGGAAGAGCAGTGGGATGCACTTTGGTGGTAAGGTGAAAATCACTCGAACTTGACCGACACGGAATTCTATGATCAGTACAAAGTAAGTATTCCATAGTAACACTGACTGACAGTTTACACACCTTGAAGATCCTTCGAATTCGCACCCAGCCTCACTAGAGCTGTATCAGATCGGCGAGCAATGACATGGGAGCCAAACTTGCGTCGTGGTTTTGCATGGACACTGTCCAAAGTAACGTGTGCATTGCCATGGCCGCGGGCATCAACTGAGCACCACTTGATCTTATGAAAGACAGGCAGTCAATGGAACGGAAAATGGATGTCGTGTGCCAGTACATCGAGTGCGTGACCGTGAAGTGGTGTGGGATCATTTCCTCGACTCTGCTGAGCAATATAGCATGCAAGAGCATCTCAAAAATGAGTAGCACCATAGTCCGTAGCCAGCGTTTCGAGGCTGACGGACTTCGCGCTGGGGTGTTTCACCATGACTTGTTTACGACTGAATGTCATATCTGGTGGGCGTGAATGGTAAGGATCCAACTCGTGGCTACCAGCGAGTCGCCAACTAACATATTTTCGATGTCGTAATACTTTCTCCTTTCGTTCAAGCCAGTGGGTCATTTGGAAAACTCGTCCTTGTGATTTGTAGCGTGGTAGGCATCTTTCGCCAAGTCGATATGGAGCCGTTCTGTGTACTCTGTGTTATAATTGTCAGTTGAGCCGAACTGCATGATCATCCGAGGATAGTGACGAGCAGCATGCAACTTCGGTAGGTTAAAATTGGTTCGAATCCCGAGATTGACGAAAATGAGCTTGTTCTCATGAAAAAGGTCTAGCGCCTCGTCCAGTAACTGAAGGGTCTCAGTGCTATGGCAAGGGTATTGCGCGAGGTACATGAAGTCGAGTAGCCCCCATACAGCTCGTAGAAGGCGACCTGAATTGAGATTGTTGGGCAGACAAATGTCAATTATGATGCCGAGGAGGAAGCGGCATATCTGCGCATGTTCGGTGCCGCTTACACACGATAAGGTGGTGATACCTTTAGTGAATAATCGAATGTGATGGTTGGGAGGAAGCCATCGACAATGAGCATCGATTTCCGTGGCTCCACAAGCGGCCTCTAACCATGCCAAAAGGTGTTTCACCAAGCCCTGATATAGCTGATGCAACACATCAGGCGTGACACTCTGAAAAATGTTCGCAAACGGGAGTTTCTCCCAGAAAGGATGTATCACAGGTTTGATTCCTACTGTGGCACATGCGCGAACAAAGGCAAGATTTCCTTGATCGAGTGCCGCGAGTGCATCCAGCACCTCACCTATTTTTCGAAGGTGAAGTTGTACTGTATTGCTTTCCATGTTGTCCTTCTCAACATCACATTTCAGGCAGTCACCGAACTTGATTCCTGTCGCGAGAAGTTGCTCTGGATAATCACCGACAAAACTCGCAAATAAAGGGTGGCAGCGGCGAAGAGCACCATCTCCAGTGCACATATTGATGCCCTCTAATCCAGCATGTTCCAAAGGAGCAAGCACACAACTCAGGCAAGCGTGATATAGGTTGGCGATAGACCGACGGCGTGAAGCCTTGTTGGCGATGTGTTCGAGACGAGTAGTTGGTAGATAGGCCAGAAGAATGTGAGCACTGTGCGAAGGTTTGCAATGAATTTCCTTTGGGATATTACCAATGGTGAGATACACCGGGTATGCAGACTTGTTGCGAAACATAGTGACTTGCGTTTTGTCCGTTGAGATGATAATCGGAATGATGGTCCCACCCGGACAATGCTGATCAAGTTTTTTCTGAGGCATTGTAAGTTACGAAGTCCAATTGATGTCACATTAAGAGTTCTTACCTGCATGTTCCACCACCACTTTCCAGTATGCATGTCATGAAACAGACGAACAGTCTGATCTTCATCAGTGTAATGGTGCTCCGGCGCGAATGTAAGGTATCTTGCGAAGTCGGTATCGCCGTACAGTGACTTGATGCATTCAATGATGTCGCGGTAAATACACATCAAATGATTCTCCTGCGACGACGACCTGCTCCCGTTGGAACTTGGGGCGTCCAGTTGGAAGTTCGTGGTCGATAATCTTGTTCAGTTCATTGGTGTTCTTGAATGACAACCCTAAACGTTCACTAACCTAGTAATATTAGCTATTAATGAGTAGTACTCGTGAAGCGAAAGAAACTTACTCCATCAATGGAGAGCAGGTCCGTAAATGCTGTAGACGTTGCTCCGCGAACTTTCGCCCATCTCGCAACCTCCCATTTGATCTGAGAATTAAAAGGATGGTATGGATTATCATCGTTGGCGAGATGTGCCCCATATGCCATGTTGGCGCCATGGTCAACGGAACCATGCGACATACTTTGGCCAGCGCATGGATCAGGATAAGGCACCCTAACAAAACCAGACCGGCCTTGTACGCGAGCCTCAACGTCGTGACGAGTGTCCTGTTGAATATCCTCCAACTCGTCATCTGCGAAGGCAAACACATCATCCTCCGGGTCGTAGTCTTCATCAGCCTGAGGTTGCAATGGTGCAGCCTCCCATTCAGGTTCGAAGAGCAGATGGTCATCAAGATCATCCTCGAAATCACTATCACCTGCATGCTCAAACTTGTCCTCATTGCCAATTCCGGTGTAGTCTCCCTCATCCATGGCAAGCTCGGCTTCGTTGTTTGTTCTTGATCGCGACTGGCTGTAAAGTGTGCGACAACGTGGGTCACGACTCTTTGCAATATGCTGGCTGAGACCAGTCACAGTGAGATCATCACAGCCACAAGCTGAACATGTGCGGTAACCTGGATCATTCATACTTATGAAGCTGAAGTGATACGAGTGGGGGATGAATATGAATATGACGAGTGGCTACTAAAGACTAACCAAGGGTACCAATACGAGTGGGGGATTTGGCCAGGAGGGATGACAAAGCTGAAACAAGGGTGTGGTAAGTAATGGCCCGAACAAATACTAAGTTCAAGGACTAACCCACCTTAGTAAAGTTACGGTATATGCGAATATGAATATGACGAGCGGCTACTAAAAACTGACCGACGGTGCAGAATGATAGCCCATTTGCGAATGAGGAACACTCTACTCTGGGTATTCCGAAATGGGGAAGGGTGGGTAGGTATTATGGGACCATGTACAGCAGCCATAGCGAGCAGAATGGGCTGGATGATGGTGTCATGAAGAGATGGTCCAATTTGCCGTCATTGGTGGCTGGATCAACCTAGCAGATATTAGCACTGCAGGGTAGTCAGTGCCCAATCAACCATATGAATATGACGAGCGGCTACTAAAAACTGACCGACGGTGCAGAATGATAGCCCATTCGCGAATGAGGAACACTCTGGGTATTCTGAAATGGGGAAGGGTGGGTAGGTATTATGGGATCATGTACTGGGTATTCCGAAATGGGGAAGGGTGGGTAGGTATTATGGGACCATGTACAGCAGCCATAGCGAGCAATGATGGTGTCGCGAAGAGATGGTCCAATTTGCCGTCATTTGCAGGGTAGTCAGTGCCCGATCAACCTAGTAAATATTAGCACTGCAGCCAGCAAAGTGAGGGAAAACATACTAAGTTGTGCTTTGATGGTGGTGGTACTGGTACAGGCTCGTGTTTTGGGATACCTGGGGATGACGATGAGAATCCGAGTCATGGGATACCTGGGGATGATGATACCTGGGGACGACGATGCTGATGGGGCAGTGTCCTGAAAGTCAGGGACAAGCCTACAGCGCCGCTGATACAGTGCTGGCAAGATACAGTGCCGGCGAAAATACAGTTTAGTGCCCTTCACTGCTGCTACATAATTGCCCTGTTACATTGCGTTAGTAAAATTTTCAGTCCCATTCCCTTCTGTTTGACCATCACTCACACTCGTTTTTAGAAAAAATCTGCATGGGTCCCTCAACGCTCCTTTATTCTTTTGAGTCTCAAAAACAAAGAAATAATAATAAATGACTTACCTCGGCAGGATCAAGGTAAGTGAGTATAAGCAACTCGGCAAGTGACTGACTGTGAGGCTTGACAGAAGCGCGTGGTGCCAAGAAAAAAGCTATCAAAAACGCAGGTGAGCGACTGAAAACACCATCAATAAATCAAACTGACCTGAGATTCAGTTTGGAAGCAAGACAAACCAAGACACAAGAATGCTACAGTGACATCAGGCCAAGACCATCCTGCCCCCAAAAAGAGAACTGGCGCGTCACCGGCGCCTACTCCAAGTCGGAACTCCAGCTCCACTGGCAAGTCAAACAGGACTGTGGCATCAAGAAAGCCGTCAACACTGAGTCTGTTGATACACTTAAAACTTGGTTATGGTACTTACATTGGGCACTGGCAGAGCGTCATCGCGACATGGTGGAGAGCGACACAGATGATGACTTGCTGGAAGCTCCACTGATGGTTGAAGGTCAGCCTAGGTCACCGTGACAAATAAGGAAGTTCAAGTCTCACATAATCATCGTGTGCAGCGCAATATCGACGACCAGCGAAACTCTGCTGAACTTATGCTATGCAAGATGTGGCATTGCCTAAAGATGAAGATGAGCAGAGTGCTGACTCTGATGCGAGTCTGCCCAGGGACAAACCGAGTCGGGATGGCTTACTAACTGATTCAGATGGTAATGAGAGCAGTGCCACTGACGGTGAGGATGAAGATTTGGCTGCAATGAGGCTTTCAGATGAGGTCAGCTTTGCTATATCATATGCTTGTGAACTCACGTTTGAAACTTTGAAGGTCATGTCGGTCGTCACCAACAAGCAGCAGGTAGCATCAAAATCACGTGGCACTTCAAAAGCCGAGTTGGCCCGAGATCGCAAACAAGCAGTAGAGACTCCTACCTGGGCCAATTTGGATGTTGAATGTGCAGTTTCGGAGTCCATTGAAGATCCCTTGACTGGTGGCGACTCATCAGAATTTCAACTTTCTGACAACAAAGGCACTGCACCAACTCGGAAACTTACTTCTGATGCGAAGACTCGGAGTATCGCCTCACTCGTTAAAACAGAAAGTGGAAAGGTGAAATTACTTGATCAGAACTTAGAGACTCGCAGAGTTCTTCAGTCCGCAATCGTGGAAGTCAAGTGCCACCTTTATTTCGCCAACGGCTATCCTGAACTGGTTGACAAGAACCAAGTCACACTGCAAGCATTGATAGTAGTCGCCGAAAAACGTGGTGCGCATTCAATCAAAGAACGTCTTCAATCGGACGAACAGTATGCGTCACAACTCGGTAGCTTGGTGAGTTCAACTCGCACCTTTTCATATCAGTCTCTAACCATATACGAGGTGGATGCTCGTGTTCCAATATTGCGCCGTGAGTTGAAGGAAGACGCATGTGCGCATGCCGATGGTTACTTTCGCCTTGGACACACCGATACTGGGAAAGCTGCAGCGAGAAGGCTATTGGATAAGTTTGCATATATATACGCCTTGAAGTTTGATGTAAGATCTCTCCCCTTGCCTGTACTACTGACATTGTTGAAATTATACAGATCAATAACGAGGCTTCGCCCATTGGAAAGAAGCCCTACCAGGGTGAACTCTTAATTTTCGTAATATATTGGCAGCTCTTTCATAGCTCGAAATCCATTGCCATCAAATTTGCGGAATGCTTCGTCGAAATCGCCAACAACAAAGGCCAGCGCCCCGAAGTCCCTATCCCTTTGCTGGCATTGGTTGCAACTGCGGTAATGTGGTTGTCATCATTGTATGGATGTGCTGTTTAACCTCGTTGCAAAGGTGTATGCAGCCCTTCTGTGGAAGTCGCAAGGTTCATCATCGAAATTCAACTTTACAGGAAATTTATTCAGCGAGACATACAACTATCATGTCAGGTTCCTGGAAAAACTGAAGAAGGACGCACCTGCGAAATTCCACTGTATGATGGCCGACATCTATGAGGCTGCACAGTGAGTTCCACTTAGGTAGTATTGCCTCGATGCTCACTCTGCTTGCAGGAAGTTGCGATACAGCGGCGCCGCTGCTGGTGGCCATGCTGCTGAGCTCGAAGCATTCGAGTTACTTGACCTCGACAATATGGAAGAAGACTGAATCGTCCCCTGCTCGTTTTCATAGTGTACAATACAGAATCGTGAAGCTGATACATAGTCTCCCAGTTGGTCATAGCGCACGCTGTTATTTAAATTAGTGTACTGCCCATATACCCATTTTTAATCAAATTTAATTTCGTTCTTGTATCTTATTCTGTCTGATTCGGTTGGAATTCTTGTCTAAGATCAAAAAATCAATTCTAAAAGTCATGCTAATGTGTTTGAATTACTGAAAATAGTTGCTAATTCTTGTGTTTTTATCAGGGGGTAAAAAAACCGAGCTAAGCTAGCTAAAACTCGAATTTGTAAAATTTAGATATAATGACGCAGGATTAGTTCGGATTAGTTCTAATGTTACATCTTTAAGTAAATTTGTCTGGGGAGGGTTTTCCTGATGTGCGGTGCTCACTAACAATAACAGGACAGCCACCACAGCAACATTCACCCATACCAAAAAGCCGGTGATGCTATCGATTGTCTAGGCGATAAAGAGAGGGCGAGGAATGAGTGGTCACAAGAAAACATTAAAGGACAGGCAAGTGGTATTGACGCGTTCTGACAGCGAACTTAACATACCTTATGTAGGCCAGCTTGCTGTCGCGTTGCGCCTCGTCAGGGATGACACCAATGTGGCTGCCACAGCCAGGGAGGCTGAGAAAGAACTCTTGAGATGGCATCTGGTGAAACTGGCGCAAGAAGGGGATTGATGTGTATCTTGTGGAAGGTGTACTGGCGATGTTGCGCGGACACTTTGCTGATAGATCTTGCCCTGAAGTCATGAAAGCCTTTTTCGTACGGCCGACATGTCGTCTTCAATATGGTTTGAATAGAGGTGATTAGGGACCTCGGCCTTCAAGTTGAATGTCATTTCTCTGTGCCTATTGCATAAGCCCGCAAATATATGACCTTCGCTCTGGCTACTTATCAACCGATATGAGGCATAGAATGTACATGCACCATCTAGTGATATATAAATATGAACGCTGAGCGCTAGCGAAGATGCTTGTCAGTGATATACATAGTACAAACATACTTAAATCAACATAGGCGCAGGTGGCATGGCATGTGATGGGTTGTGCGATCGTTTGTTCCGGTGCCGATGCTTCCGTGAGTATGATGCGCGCCTTGACAACACATGATTCTGTTCTGCCAGTAGTAGTTGGTTGAAAATTGAGTTAGCAGCACATTGTGACAGCAAGTCATGTGAGAGTTTGATTGATTAGTACTTACCTTCAAAAAGGCTAAAGGTAGCCTGATTAACCAGTAGTGCGAATCCCAAAGACAACAGTTTGACGTGGAGACCGAAGTTGTCACAGTCAAAGTCAAAGTCAAATTCAATAATGGTTCGGAATGGTTCGGCAAGGCCGAACCAGAACGGGACCGTTGGGGAAGACCTAGAACCGAGAACTGTTTTCCGGTCCAGTTCTGGCTGGTGTGAGAACCGTGGACCGAACCGCGGAGAACCGGACCAAAAGTCCGGTTCGAACCATGGTTCTGGACCGGACCGCGGCAGCACTATTCCTGATCCACATTGCAATACTCCATGGCAACTACTGTATGAAATCCAGAATGATCGTGCCTTTATTACCACCATGGGCATTGATGCCCCGACTTTTGCATTCATTCTGACTTCTGGCTTTGCCAGTCAATGGTACGAGAAGCCTGTCACACATTCTGACATCAATTTGCACGGCATCCCTCGCCTGAATCGGTGTTCACTTAACGCTGGTGGGGTACTGGGCCTCATACTTCACTATCTCAACTCCACCATGCAGGAGACTAGCCTCCAACAGATATTTGCATTGGTTCCCACCACTGTTTCCCACTATCTCACATCTGGATTGCCCATACTCTTACAAACTCTCCATTCTATGACTGATGCCCAAATTCAATGGCCATGGGGACCCGATTTTGAACAGTGTAGTGCGCTTGTGATCGCACGTCACCCACGACTGCAAGGCGCCTTCGGAAGCATCGACAGGCTCAAATTGCCTGTGCAAACTTCCGAGGATGATGAGATCGAAAACGCTACATACAATGGGTGGATTTCTGAGCACTTCATAAGTTCCATCATAATGTTTTCGGCTGAAGGTATGTTTTCTCGTCTTCTGCCATAGTTTGTACTTAATTTTATATTCACAAAGGCATTGTGATTGCGGCAAGGACCAATGCGCCTGGTAGCTGGCATGATTCTCGCCTCGCATCCCACATCTATACTCAACTTCAACTCCACACGCCTCCCAACTATTACATTGTTGCGGATACCACCTTCCCTCGTGGAACGTCCTCCATTAATGGGCGCATTCGTGCACCTCTGAAACATGGCCAGGTTTTACATGGCTCAGTTGCTGAGATAGTGGAACAAATGGCATTCAACTGTGAACTACTTTCTTACCGTCAAACAGCAGAATGGGGTATGTGTGCTATTCAAGGCGCCTTTGGAAGGTTACATCTACCACTCAATATTGCTAACGAAGAAGCTCACAGCAATCTCATCGAAATATGTCTTCGGCTGCACAATCTCCGTGCCATCCGCATTGGATACAATCAGATACGGACCATGTACACGAAGCTTTGGCAGGCTACAGAGGATGATATGGATGTGTGGCGAGACTTTGAGAACATGCTATTTTCGGACCAGAGGAAGAAAGATTGAGTTTCACGCTTCCATGTCACCTTGGAATACCAGTAGATACAATTGTCTAGTACTGCTGCATGTTCCCCGTCTCGTTTTGAGTATTGAAAATTGATCTAGCACTGCTGCATGTTCCCCGTCTCGTATCGAGGATTGAAAATTGATCTAGTACTGCTGCATGTTCCCCGTCTCATATTGAGGATCGAAAATTGATTTAGTGTTGCTGCGTGTTGCCTGTCTCATATAAGAGGGACAAGAGGACAGACAAGAGGACAGTCAATTTTTCAAATGGTACATTGGTACTCTAAACACACTGGGAAACTACATAAATCATATTGTACAATCAAATCTCTTTCGACCCTTCCTTCAAATCTCTTGCGACCCTTCCCTTTGAATGGGCTTGGGCGGTTCATCAGCCAAGTCCTCAAAGTATGGGCGATCAGAATACTTGCGACGTCCAGATGGCCCAACTCTTCGAAGGTGGGGAGCCTTGGGAGCCTTGGGGACCTCGGATGCGGTACTTTCACCCTTGTCTGTGATCCACCTGACAGATCCCCCACCCTCAGGGTACCATTCCTGCTGTAAGTTCTTGCATTTGGGCATCCGGATATGCCGACAGTGTGTGGATCCAGTCATCTCAATCATCTCAATGCGAAGCTGAGCACGATCGCATTCGCATTCGGCGTCATACAAACAATTGCACAAACCAAAGAGTTGTCCCTGTAAGTTTTTGACATTGGCATTTGAGTCTTGGAGCTGCTGGCTTTGGGTAAGCAGCTGCACAGTAGCGAAGCTGCAATTAGCGTGATCTTCATCACAGTCGCGCTGGGCAGCTGGGTCCAAAGCACCAGAGAGATGAGTGAGGAGATCTGTAGCGGCAGCTCCTCGAGCGTTGCGACGCGAAATGGGGGCTTCGGTGCGAGCAGTGGAGCATGCAAGAGCGGTGTGCTGAATTAGGGGGGAGGTATGGTCTAACTCATCCTGAAACTGATCGGAGACGACAGAGTGATTGCCGTCGTTGTCTTCGATGTCATCAAAATCCATGTCGTCCAGGTCACGCGTGCCCGCACGCTCGTTGATAAGTTGATCAATGCAATGTGCACATGTAACCTCTGGAGGGCAGACACTGTCTCCTGTTGGCTTCGTGGTCTTCACCAGCTGTAGTTCAATGAGTGAGCCATCTCGCAGTCATAGTATGACACTTCAAATCTTACCTGCTTGAACTTTGTCTCGAGCGAAGTAACTTTGCATTCAGGCCGGCCATTTGCCTTTGCCCATTGGCCAAACTTGACGTGAACAGCCTGCCATCCATGTTGACTGAGGGGAAGCTCCTGACAGACCATGTCCAGAAGAACTTTGACGTCTGAGCTGGTGTAGTTGTTAGATCCTTGAGGGCGTCCTCGCCGAGCATGCACTTCATCGTCATCTTCAGTGTCCTCTCGGGAATGCTTTTTTGAGTTAGCAGATGCAATGTTTTGGTTGGCCTTACCTTTGCCCCTTGGGCCTTTGACCTGGTGATGAGAGCCTGCTGTTTTGGCTGCTAGAGTGTGGCCACGGGCCTCTGCGATAGTGACGGCGTCACTCAAGTCAAGATCGGGAGAGTCGGGTAGTGGGAGGAGCACAGGATCAATCATTTGGTTAGTCGGTACCTGGCGGAGAGGTACACAGGAACTGGATGGTTGTAAGGGTGGCACAGTGTCTGAATTGGACTGGAAGTTGGCCGGTGTGAGTGCATAGGTGCCAGGAGGCTGTATATGACACAGTTAGTCAAGCGAAAATACATAGTATGGTGCCATTGACGTACCTTATAACTAAAACCCAGTTGGGGCTCCCCATATTCGAGGCCAAAGGCATGTGAAGTGATAGACTATAGTAGTAATGAGTGTCTGAAAGCGTAGATGAGAAAAATGAAACTTACCTTGCAAATTCCTGGGTGAGGAACCCAAGCGCCATCTTCATTGCGTGCATAGGCATTTCCAGGGTCGTTGTAGCGTAATTCTGGGTAGGAAGGGCTACTACCAGGGGGAATCATAGATTGTGGAGGGGGAATGTCAGACATTGTAATTGTAGTAACGTTTGAATTGAGATAAAGCTTACCTTGTTGTCCCCAAGCTTTTATAAGTCCCCAAAGTCCCAAAATTTTTGGTCGTCAGACGCACAGGCGTGTCTTGAAGTTGATAGATAGCAAAGTTCACCCTGTGGTGGCTGCAGTAATACGTTAGCGCATACACACATGGATCAAAGCATTTAATGGAAAAAAAACACACCTAACCTCAAAGGATGGACAGTCCTTGTTACTGGACAGATAGAGGTTGATTGGGGTCGGCATTGCTCAAGTTGTCCCTTGGCTGGTCGCAGAAATACGTGATTGCGCAGTTCGGCTGTTATAAATCTTAAAACTTCAGTACAATTTTCTCCAGGCAGCGTAGGTATTGGACCACAGTTAAAATCTGTATATTCGAAGATGTTGTGATGAAGCAACAATTGTCACTAAGCTCAAGACAAGTGAGGCGCCGACCTCCGTTGTAGATTAGTCAGCGGATCGCAGGGGCGTTAGTGGCCCAAAACGGATATAATCCGTCTGAATATTCTGTAAGGGGGGGGGGGCCCCTTCCTTACAGATTTAGAGTTTGTAAGAGCCTCAAAAAAATATGTTTTGAACATCCGACGTAAATGAACTGCGGCATCGCGGCACGACTTCCTTAAATGGCATTTTTTATTCTATTATATTCTATTCCGCATTATTTTGGCCTACGGATAGTCACCCAATTACTAGCACATATATTGTATTAGCCTTTACAGAAGAAATCGCGAAGTGCTTGTAATTGAAAAATGATAGATGGATAGATGTAACGAAAAGAGGGCTTTACCGCCGACGAACACAAGTCGCCTTGAGCTTATGCAAACTAATATTGCCTAAACGCATAACCCAGTATCTCCGAAAGGCGTCTTTGCATCAATTCAGGACACATGCAACCCTCAGTCCACCCATTGGCTGTCTTCGTGGGTTCGCTAAACATGGTAAAATCGTCCTCAGTATCCACTAGGTCATAGAAGACCAACGATGGGTCTTGGTTGTGAGGGTGTGATTGGTGGGGCGAAGCAGAGGACTGAGACGACGTGGTCCTGTCTGATACGAAAGGGGTAGAAACACGATCGCTCTCGCGTCCGCTGCGCGAAGAAGGAACATATCCATGTTTTGTTTTGCGATGGCGCGTCAGGGCGGAAGGGTCGTGTGTCCTGAAGGTGCAATCATGAGGACAGCTATACCGTTGCTCGCCAGTACTAAAATTGTTAATCAGATGAACTCGTTGATAGTAATGCACAAGTACTACGTACTGTCTGGCAGAGTGGATATCGAAGCTTCTTTTTATTATCGTCGCAAAGTGACATCCGGGAAAGGTGCAAGTGCGCGTGCTGAACGCGAGCTCATGTGAGTGACTAGTGTAGAATATAGGACAAACACTTACTTGTCTGCATGCCCAGCCTCATGCCTCTTGAATTCTTTAAACTTCGTAAAAGTTTCGCTGCACTTTGCCTGAGGGCAAACGTAGACCTGGACATTTCAGACTCAGACTCAGTACATGAAGTATGCTCGTGATCAAGCTCACCTTGGTAGGAGACATTTGAAACTTGATTATAGAGGAATATGAGTGGGGGTTCTACTTGACTTTGTCGCCTGATTCTCCTTGGGGTAACGATGATGCCAGGTAGGCATTCAGTCAGGACTAACTATATACGATTCCTGGAGGTGGTAGTGACATTGTACTTTGCGGTGGACAGAGGCTTCTTGGGTTCATACATAAACGCTTTGTTGGGGCTCTAGTGGACATTATGAGCCACGACAAAGCGCGAATGGATTATCAAAGCTTCCGCATCCGTTTGAAGGCTTCATTATCCGGTACACACAATCCTACGAAGAGAATTCGATTAGCCAACACTGATAAATGTAATGCGTGATGATATGTGGATGCGGGGAGGACATGACAGTCTGGGCAAGAGGTAGGGAAAACCTTAATTCCCAACATGCTCGCCATTATTAGTTTCGCACAGTACTGCTGTAATTTAAGTTATTTGCCTCCAAGATCCAAAACCGCACAAAATCCGTATTCCAACAAGATCACCCCCACCTAAGTAAAGCACAGGTACAACACGACAAGTACTAAAACAACCCTGCCAGATCTGCAAAAGGGTCCTTCCCTTGCTGCGTCGGTGGCGTCGAGGTAGGCTGCGTCTGTCCCATTATCGCACCCATACTCACCCTTGATCCGGGTGTGCTCATATGAATGCCCAAACCTCCACTCTGCACCGCACCCATGCCCGTCGCTGGTGGCCTACTCATACCCGATCCAGGAGAACCCATTCCCAACGACGAGCTTGAATTCAGAGGGATACTCGCACCTCCGTTGTTGCCCCCGAGATAACTGGGTGATGTTACCCGTGGTGGGGTAGGCGCGAGCATGATGGACCCGAACTGGGGCTGTGGCGAGGGGGCGTTTGGGACGGGCGATGAAGTGGAGGAAGAAGCATTGTTCGTTAAGGAGGCGTTGGGTTGTGAGCCGAACATTGCACTAGCACTTGATGGTCGGGCGTAAGATTGGGTTTGTGGCGGCGAGGTAAATAATGTAGCTAGATCATCTACTGGTGCGACGTATGATGATGAATGCGACGTGTCATCGAAATTAATGAGGGATCCCTCGGTTTGGGCGAGCTCAGCGGGTACGGCAGATATGCTATAGTCGCCTTTCTTGTAGGCCTCAAAGCGTGTGAGGACGTTGTTGATTCGATCGTTGATTTGGAGGAAGGCGTCTGAGTAACATATAAGACCCATGCCGGAGAATAGAGAAACGGACGCACCCAACGACTCTGGATCGTCTGTTTCTGCGTTCGAAACCCATTTCTGGAGTTTTGGACGGGCAGACTTCAATATCGACGCGACTTGCTGTCAAAGCGAGTGAGAAAACTTTACAACTTTCCAAGAAATATCGACGCACGTCATACACGTCTCCCGATGCGAACTTCTCTCCATGCGTAGTATCGACGTTATCGAGCATTTCATTGAGTAGAATGACTTTACTCTCGAGCTTATTGAGTTCCGTCATAGCTTGAGAACGATAGTCTGGCTTTGCTTCGGGGTTCGCGCCAGCAAGGGACTTCATAAGTTCTTGCGCGACTGCCAGGTCTCGCGGGGTACCTCTCCGGATAAGTTCCTGTAGTTTAGCAGATTGTGCTTCTCGATCTTCCGACTCAAGCTCGTCGGCAGATTTAATGTTCTATGCTGTCATATGAACATATGAGATAGACACAAGCCACAGACGAACTCACCATCGTCGGAGGTGCCTCGGCGTGGCGGGTAATCTCCCTAAAGCGGTACCCTTTGAATGTAAGAAGCCGGTGCATATCCTTAATATTGCCCAAATCTTCCTTCCAGCGCGACTCAGAGCAGATACCTTCCTTCCATTGGTGAATGAGCTCTAGAATCCGTGACATGACTGGGCCAGGGAACGGAGGCGGACGTTCAGGGAATCGACGGACGAGCTCGTTCAAAAATTCTTTGGTTGAGATCTGGAGGTGAAATGGGTAGCCGCACGATTGGACGAGGGTGTCAAGAAGCGCGAGTGCGAGTATGGCGATATGTGGGTTTCGGTGGTTTGTTAGACGTGCTATGAGCATCGATGCATCGCGAGGGCTGATTCAATGTCAGAACTAGATATTGCAAGAACAGAATTGACAGACGTATTAGCTTTCTTGGTGTTGATCAATTCAGCGATCTCAAGGTGAACGGCATAGTTGGGCTCATGGAGTGTTGGATCGCAGGCATTTTGTACGAGCATTTCCAGTCTCGATGCCCTGAACCAAGGCGTACCGTTCGACCCTCCCAGCATCATGTTAGTGTTGCCTAGCTAGTGAGCAGTAAATAATCTAGCAGACGTGGCAGTCACAGCTGCGCTCGCTGTCGTGGTCGCCTCGCCAAGATGTCCGTGGGAATATGTCAGCATGCCCTTGCTTGTGCCTTTTTACTCAAACCACTAGGCCAGCCTATCAGCTATCTATGTAGTTCTATGATGTTCTGCCGCTTTCTGCTGTTTTACCGACAAGGACCGACTCGACTTGAAGCTCGGTGCTCAGACTAACTGGCTGCAACGAACAGATCGCGATAGTGATGTCGGGCGAATGTACAGAGGGAACACCAATAACTTGTACTGGCGTTGAACAGATCTAATGGACTGTAGTAAGTTTTTATTAGGTATGTTGAATCATTGCTCGGGGTGCATTTACCCCCCTCTGAATTTCGAGTCCTAGCCTAATACTGACAACGTTTCTCATCAGGTATCCTCCGAGCCTAGCTCTATGCCACTGCTGGACGGACATGCGCAAACCACTTCATAGCACAGAGTCTTCGTACAGCATCCAGGAATGAAACGGGCGTACTGTCACAAGATCACTGTTGATCTCCACACCTGGTCGAGGATAAACGTTTTACTCGGAGCTGATAGAGCTGTGCTATTAATTGTTTGTGAAAGCACAATGCAGCCGATACCGCTATCTTTGACTCAGAACCTCGTGTGCGAATGACGTCCACACGGTCGTGCAATCATGAATACTAAAACCATACAAAATTCAGCCAATCATACTAATACAGAAACATTCCGCCGCTCTTCAGTGCTCAGTTATAATGCTTCACCACGATCCCCTCGATGACCTCCTCCTCAACACCACGTTCCACCCCCTTCTTGAGACCAGTCCTCCCATACGACGTTGTCCTTCCCTTCCTCCACGTCTCGCACGATGGCGAATCGTCATCAAGACACTGGCGCTCAATACCAGCGCGCTTTAACACGGGGCTTTCAGCACACGGCAGCAAACGAATGTCGTTGTCTGGCATCGCGAAATAGTATGCACCCAAACGGTCGTAGGCGCGTTGGTCCGAGGGGGGCTGGATGACACGGTGGATCGTAGGCTTGTAGTATCCGCCTGTAAAGAACGTCATCATGTCGCCTGTATTGATGACCTGGCCGAATATCAGGTTCGAGGTATCACTGTAGTTTTCTCTATGGGCGTACCAAACCGTTATCAATGTGTCGGACCCATTTCCATTTACCGTCAGGAGCCATAATTTGCAGGCCTCCAATAGGCTGACTCCATAGAATGGTGATGCTGCCGATGTCTGCGCGATTCAGGAGACGAGTTTGAAGTAAAAGAGGTATCAAGTGTACCTGTGTGTCCCTTCAACCAGACATTCTTTGATTTCTTTTCTTCGTCATTCGAGCGCCTGTAGCTTGACGACAGTTCGTAAGTTAAGGAACGGTTGCGAAAAAAAGGGCTTTTACTATTTCATGAACCTGACTGCGGATATGCTCATCGATATAAGACTGCATACATGCGAAGAAAGACTAACCAGAGGTTTCTCCCGTTCGGTCAAAATTGTGTTTTTCTACCAAAGTCTCCTCGGGCAGCTCGAGGCTTAACGCAATCAAGCTGTATAATGGTGCTCGTAAGCTAAAACATCGAGAAGGGACTCGCGGTAGAACTGACCGGAGGATCGGATGGAGAATGTTGAAGTGATTATGGCGAGCAAAATCATCGAGCTCTGGAAGGAAAGGGCGCACGGCCGTGGGGTGGGGACGCTTTGTGACATTGAGGTTTACTGCCGAGGGGTAGGAAGCACGCATCTTACGAGTATTTGTAACACCTACTTGCATAATGCTCAATCTGATCGAGAATTTGATTCTCCGTGTCGACTTTCTGAATAAGAGCAATAAGCCGTGCCCATGATGTCCTTTGTAGAAACGACGGACCCAGAACTGACGAGGTTTATAACCTGCGTAGTACCCGACTTTTTCGACATCGGCAGTGTGCATCTTCTTTTCATCCGGAGAGACGTTGTCAAAAGGAACACCAGCTATGTCGAAGATCCTGTCACGCTACAACATTGATTCAGAGACCTTTGAGTATGAGTGACGAGAATGGGCCGTACCTGACCCTGTGTATAACCATGATTGATAGCGTAGAGAAAGCCATGGGTGCGTAGTGCGTCTCGAAGCTGCGGATAGAGCTCTGCGCGTCCCTCGGGTGTGTGCGCTTTGGAAAGGTCGATGATGGGAAGGTCCGCGAATTCCACTATACGGGGAGACGTTATACAAATGTATTGCATTTATTGGACACTCTCTTACGGTCCTCTTTTGTTTCTGGAGGGGGGATGTAGTGTGGACACTCCGGCAGGGTTAAACTGGGCATATCTTGGATGGTTATTGGAGAAGATAGTAGAGAGTTCAATGCAAGTGCCAAGTAGATAATAAATACCTGGACTATGAACAGAAGGATCAAAATTTCACACCGAGATAAGCCATCTGAAATAGATGCGGCTTCGTGACTTATGTCATGAGTTCCATGAGAGCTCAGAGTACCTCGGCGTAATATCGAGTCCATTTTTGTCCCGCTGCTGAGGAGTCCAATGTAGTGAGGTAGTACAGCAAACTGAACAATTGACGACAGCACTACATCAGCAATAGATCATCGGTGTAATTAAGGATGAGTGAGCGAGATATGATTGATGATGACATTACAGGGGGGGCACGAGGGCACAGACGTGATAGTCATAATTAGACGGGAACGAGAAGAAGACCGGGGTAGGCAACGATGCACCGAGAATGAGTACCACCAAGACGAAACGATCTCGTGCTCCATAGTGGCCAAACTGATTCTCTAGGAGGCAAATTGAGAATGAAGTTACTGAAGTGTTGGGATCCGAAGTCTCAGAAAAGACGCAGGGTTGAGTATAGGCGAACGGAAGATATGGCAGGGATTTGTCAGCGCGTGTCCCGAAAACACGACGGTAGGGCACATGACGCGAAGACTCCGCGCTCGTGTAGGAGAGTAGATACGACGAACGTGGACGTTCGGAGGGGTCGTTCTCGGCGTGTCCTTGTAGTAGTTTGTCGTCCTTCGTCGTCGTCGTCATCGTCGTTATCTTTGTCGTCATCGTTATCGTCGTCGTCGTCGTCGTTTCGTTGTCTTCATCTTGGTACTTGTTTGTTTGTTTGTTTGTCTGCTTGTTTGTTTCTGAGTTTGAGTCAGTCGCTTTTGTTATTATGTCTCCTCTACCTGGCGTGCCAGGCGCTGACCTTCTTGCCTAAGGTCAGTCAGCCCAAAGTCAGCCAATGATAAGCCCGAACCCTTGGCCAGTGACGGCTATACCCGGGTGCTACATAATAGGAAGTGCCGTGTGACCGATTCTATGTCAACTGATCAGCAGGTTCTTGTTGTAGGCCTTATTGATTAGCTAGCCAACAAGCCGGTCAGCAACTGCCTCATTGGAACGACTCCACTAACGAGCCGCATCTTTCATCCGCGTCGTTTCCTCGCGCCACCATGATTGTGCAGCAGGATGACGAGGAAGCACCACTTATGCAACAACCAGAACAGCCAACGGCCAGGACACCTCTTCCCTGGGATCAATTTTGGATTCTACTGCTCTTGGAGATGCCAGATTTTCTTTCTTCTCGGACCCTTGCCCCGTTTATTCCCCAAGTGAGTAGTATATTCCCCTCGTTGGACTTATATCTGACCACAACTGGACTTTGTCAAGCTCATCAGAGACATTGGAGTCACTCACGGAGATGAATCCCAGGTTGGACACTATGCCGGCATCCTTGTAAGCATGTCTTCATCGTTTTTACCCTTTCGTTCGTCCATGATACTATTCTCTCCAGGAATCCTCGTACTATGCAGCTCATACCCTGACCATTTTTCATTGGAGTCAACTGTCCGACCACATCGGGCGGAAGCCCATAATACTGATAGCTCTATCAGCAATTGCTATTTCGATGTTTTCATTTGGGCTGTCGAAGACCTTCCTTGGTCTGGTGGTCAGGTCAGCGTGTCCAGTCAAATAATAGCTGTGATCATCAATTTCTGACATTCTCGACCAGTCGTATTGTTTGCGGAGCATTTGATCCGAGCGATACTGTGGTCAAGAGCATACTGATGGACATCACTGACGCAACCAATATGCCCAAGGCATATAGTTATATACCAATTTCGGTGATGATCGGAAACACAGTTGGGTAGGCATCCAGTACATTTTCTCTCGTGCTGAGTTTCACAGAATCTATTAGACCACTCATTGGGGGATCGCTCTCCCGACCAGCAGACAGATTCCCTGACATCTTCGGGCGATCAGAACTCATGAAAACCTACCCATATCTCCTGCCATGCTCTATCTCAGCATTGTCTATATCAATAATTTGGCTAGTCACGTATATCCGTCTTAAAGAGGTGAGCGCCTAAAGACCCATCTTTGGATCACACTAAGTGTGGTTACAAGAGCGTCTCTACCACTGGCAAAACACCGCTCTGGGAGCTAATCAAAAAAGGATTCCGCGGCCAATCATACTCGAGGCTGAGCAGCGTTATAGTTGATTCTGGGGAAGGAAGTCCTGGAGAAGTTCAACTAAAGCCGCTTCCGCTGCGCGCTTTGCTAACCCCGAAAGTGTTGAGTGTGATAGCGAGTTATGCCACCATGGACCTGTTTCAAAGGGGGTTCAATTCGGTATTACCTGTTTTCTATGCAACACCAATTGAACTTGGCGGTCTTTCCCTTGACCCTCCTCGCATCGGTGTTTTACTTGCGGCATCAGATGTCATACATGGAATATTTCGGCTGCTTTTCTACACTCAATTACATGATCGCTTCGGTGCAAGAGCTATCTTTATCACCGGTGTTAGCTCCGGCATACCCATCGTCATTTTATTTCCTGTGACCAGTGCTCTGGCTCGGGCGTATGGAATAGGTATGGCGGTGTGGCTGTGTGTTGTCGTCCAGCTTGCGCTGAAGACTAGCCTGGTCCTATGCTTCCGTATGTTAATCTAGCACTTCCTGCGTTCTGTTGAACTGAAAAGAGCTCATAGCCTGCATGGCATTATTCATCAGAGCAGCTGCTCCCAATCGCGCCTCGCTCGGAACAACCAATGGATTCGTTATGGTGGTTGTCGCAGTAGCAAAGGTCATCGGCCCGGCATCTGCAGCTTCAGTATTCTCTTATTCATTGCAGGAGGGGCATGATGCGTGGTCGATATACTACTTCTTTATCGCAATTGTATTTTCTCGCTGTAGGTACTGCTCTATTACTTCCCCATGATCCTAGTGTATGGGAAGACTCCCAATAATATCATCACGAATGACCGTGTACATTATGATCTAGTGTAGGAGGCAGGACTATACTTACCCTTGCAAGTGAATTGCATCGCAGATGAGCCAATATTTACGGCTAAATAATGTTGAAGTGATTATGGCGAGCAAAATCATCGAGCTCTGGAAGAAACGGGCGCAAGGCAATGGGATGGGGACGTCTTGTGGCATTGAGGTTTACTACCGAAGCGTAAAAAGCACTCATCACACGGGTATTTATAATACCTACCTACATAATTCTCGATCTGATCGAAAATTTCATTGTCCGAGTTGACTTTCTGAATGAGAGCAATAGCTTTGTTTTTTGTGGAATATAACGCACCCAGAATTGACGGAATTTATACCTAAATAAGAGCCGACTCTCTCGATACTGGCGGTGTATATCTTCTTTTCTTCCGGAGAGGCTTCATCAAAAGGCACACCAGCTATGTCGAAAATCCTGTCACGCTACAACATTGATTCAGAGAAACTTGAGTGACAAGAACAAGTGGTACCTGAGCTTGGGTATCACCATGATTGATGGCGTAGAGAAAGCCATGGGTACGTAGTGCATCTCGAAGCTGTGGGTAGAGCTCTGCGCGACACTCGGGTATATGCGCTTTGGAAAGGTTGATGGTGGGAAGGTCCGCATAATCCACTATAGGGGAGTCGTGGACAAGCATATGTATTTATCGGACACTCCTCCTTTGTTTCTGGAGGGTGGGTGTAGGGCGCACATTCTGGCAGGATTAAACTGGGCATGTCTTGGATGGTTATGAGAGAGGAGAGTACACTGAAGGGGTAAGGCAGGTAGATAAATATCTGCGCTACGGGTTCTGGAAGACAAGAGGACTATATAAGCGATC